TGTCGCTTCCTCGCGAAAGTGCTTGTTTTGCATTTTAATCAATTAACAAAGTTGGAGAGGTTGCGAGAGGTCGAAGAAAGGGTGAGCCAAGAATCCCGTAAGAGCCAAAGGAACTTGGTTTAATGACTCTCGGCTCCCTAGGGAATCTCGACTTTTCGCGACCACAAACTTTTACGCCAATTTATTCCTAGTGTCTTTTCAGTATGTTAGAGTATTACTTTCTAGCTAAGCGAACGACGGAATGCGATTGCGGCTATCAGCATCCCTGATGGACCCTTTGTGTTTTTCACGTTACAGGCGGGCAAAGGATCCTTCGTTGCAATGGGCCCGACGAGTCCTGACACACCGGAAGATTGTCTCTCAGTCGTAACGAACAAATATTCTGCATCGAGTCTCGTGCAAAAATATTTCCTACCAAGTATTATGAAAGAGTCTAGGCAACAGTATTCGCGACAGGTCGTGTCCTTCGTCTCGTAGTGGTTTTTGGAAATTGCTGAAAACTTGAGGATAAGGCAGGAACGGATGAAAAGAAAAGGAGTAAAGCAACAATAAGAAAACAAAAGAGAGGATCGACGGTTTAGCTAGTCATAGGATATAGTGGAGAAATCGTAGAGAAGAATTAGTGATAAAGTCGAACGGCTGATCAGAAGCAATTAACTTTCTTCGGATAAGTAATTAAAGTTTTAAGGGAATAAAAAGATTCGACAAGATATTTACGTACTTGTAAGAGGACTTTCGAGGTTTTAAGTTAAATAAAGTGGTAATCTTCCCCTCTTGATTTTACTTGGAATTCCCAAGATCAAATCAGAAATCTTTCACCGAATATCGAGACGCGAGATTGGAGGCGAAACAGGGGATGAGAATGCACCAAGGAAGAAGATAAGGGCAGATGTGAAGGGTACGACTTACCGAGCATAACAGCGAGGACAATCCTAGATTAAAGTTACCTAATTAGCACTCTAAGAGATACTTAAAGATACGTGTTAGGGCCGCGGGGAATATATCATATATATATATATATCAGGTAGAAGCGCGCAATTGGCACACGTTACTTGTTGAACAAGCACGCACGATACACTTGGTTATACAAGAGAAATATATTTAATACTGTTGTTCGTAGCGATATGCGTCTTTAAACATTTCCAAAAAAAAGAAAAAGAGAGAGAGATCTATATACATATACATTCTATATTATAAATATTTATCTATATGTTTAGAGTTAATAGCGTGCGGTTGAAGGAATAATTTATGTGAGGTGAAGTGGAATAGAATGAAATGTCGTTTCGATAGGAACAGAGTTGGTCTTCTTGTTGTGCAAATAAATTTTGCTGTAGATTAATCAAAAGGGATAAAATATACGCGAAGGAGGGACGGATATTTTGGAAAGCAAAGGGAAAGAAGAAATAAGCGTGGAACGATAGTTGTTAGAGAGTAAAGGGGGTTTTTGGGAAGACAGAGATTAAGCGGGGGAAAGAGGCGAAAGTCTAGCAATAACGGGAAGAAGAAAAAAAATAAGGATAAATCGCATTCTGTGAAAAATTGGTGCGATATCACGACAATTGGGGAAAAATTTACTTGGGTGAGAGAGAGGGACAGGTAGTGGGAGAGGATGAATCTCGAAGTGGAACTGATAGCAGGGGTGGTAAAGGGCGGACCGCCCCCAGATCATCTGCCAGCCCCACGCCTCATCAAGATATTCATCGTTTCCGAACGGGATGGTAAGTTTCAAAGACTTCGACAATAACGCAATCGTTCCTATTGAAACTGCCTGTAATTTTGAAATCCGACGTCTTAAAAATTCACATCACCTAGAATTTTTATAATGCTTGTGTTTCTTGAGGTGAGACGTCTAAGGTTTAAGAATATATTTTACAAGGTTGGACGATGCCGTAGAATTTGTAATTCTTTGCCTCTTTTTGAATTCGTTAGAGCCTCCAAATAAGCTAAAAGGTAAAAGGTAGAAGGAAAATAGCGAAACATCTCCAGGCGAGGCAGGATAATGGATCCGAGTAAATTTTTGAAAGAGCATTCTCTTTTTGTTCCCTGGGTCACGAGGAGATTAAAAAGATTCTCAACATTCTCAACATTCTCAATACGATGTAGGTTATGTTTCGTGATGACTAGGTATTAAACTGAGAAAGATATTGATCACGCCTTTCTTTTGCCATGTAAACGAAGCCTCATGTATGCTAATGGATAGTGGGGGATGTAACGCTAAAGGGAAAACACTCGTCATCCGTCATATAAGAGTAGCTTACGGTCTGGGGCTCAGCTGGAGAGAAACTCTTGGTGCTGGAACGTAGGATGGAAAAAGTCATTGGTATTTTTCTCTCTGGCGTTCAAGATCCACGCTCCAATGATCTCATTATCGAAGACGTAAGAGCAGGTCGAGGCGGATCGAAAGGGATGAAATTTCTGTTTCACGCGGTTTCAAGTTGGATTAATTCGAGATGGCCTGAGGAGAATTAAATCACGATCCTTCCGTGTTATAGAGGAATATGGTAGATGGACGAGGGTGGATCTATTCCTGGGCTCGGGCAGCGGAGCGGTGACGACGCAGGCTTAAGTTTATGATCAAGAAGTTAGTGTAATTAGCTGATGTAAATTGTATTTCAACGAGATCCAACCGGAGTCTCAACTCGTCTTATCTCTTATGCTGGATCAACGCCCGAATTGCTAGGAATTTCCGTTTTCAATTCGTTGGATCTGAAAGGACTTTCCAGCAGACGACTTGCTAGGTGCTTCGCTAGTTGCTAGTTCGATTTCGTTCTGATGGTTCATTAAGTGAAACTCCAAGTTCTCTCGGGTGGAATGAGTACGCTTGAAATTGCAGCTAGTTTACGTGTAACAGGGAAATTGAAGGATTTAACGATTTACATGGGCGAAGGGTCAAAATGCTAGGCAACATGCGTAATTGATTGATCGATCGATTAGATACTCGTCAGACTGCTTGTAAAATTATCGACAAAGAGACTCCACATCAGAAACAAGAGGGTCTAGTTGGTGGATTTCTTTCAGAATTTCACGAAGAGCGGAAACAGCTCCTTGAAGTCGTCGGCCCGGAATTGCAATCCATCTACGACGACATGGGAATCGAGGTAGGACACGGAACATCCTTAGTCTTGAGTGTTGGAACAGTATCTGGAATTGCACTCGTAATGATCTCTCTTCATTTGCACCACATCAAGGTACTCCTCGTTGACATGCAATACGGCACCAACTGGGATCCTGACGTGGATCCGAGACTGGCCGAATTCTTCCTGGAGGAAATAAACGCTTCTCATAAACATTCCCGCGGATGTTTCCTGCTGGTAAGCCAGAAAACTAGAGAGAAAGAGAGAGAGAGAGAGAGAGAGAGAGAGAGAGAGAGAGAGAGAGAGAGAGAGAGAGAGAGAGAGAGTAGAGGCCGGAGGTTGAAATGGAGACGTGTAGGCTTCTTATAGCTCCTTATAGCTCGGATGCAAGTTAAGGAAGGAAATCACTCTTGGCTCTTATAGTTGCTGCTTGGGTCAGATTACAATGCAGGCTGGGTCCCGACATCGTTCCCCGAGGAAACTTTTCAAGCACTCCTGGGGCAGTGCTCCGCGCTCGAGGAGTACTACGAACACAATGGCCATTGTTACACCTTAAAAGCCACCAGGTAAAGACCTAGTTTGTTACTCTGAATGCTCTTGGTGGACGATAAGCGTTACCGCCTTGTTTCACGAGTGCCTCAAGCGTGCGTCTTCTTCGACAGCGAGGAGACGGCTCAGGTGGAGTGGCATTCCCGGGAGTCAAACTTGAGGAAGAGTCTTAGGATGGCAGCCGAAGCTGTAATTCTGCAGGATCCTGACAACGTTGGAGCAAGGAACGCGCTGAAGAGTACCGTGCATAGACAACTCGAGCATGGCCTAAGTACGATCGTTTGAAGGATTCTTCGATGACCGGGTATAGATATGGCTGGATGCTTTTAGGTCTCGACGAGGATGGGAATGGCATCATTACGGTGATACGTGAGTGGACGGGAGCCAGTGCACCTGCCGTTTCGCCGGAAGTTCAGTCCCTTAAGGCGAAAGTCGGTCAAGTGTTACCGGAGGAAAATGTTATTCGACTCGAAGTCGAGCACATGGCTGGCGGCTTCGATCCTGACAGTTTTGCTCATGACAATTATTTGACTAAAATGCGTCAGAGGATTTTGGAAAGAATTCAAACTCTAGTGAATGCATCGGTCGAGAGAGATCCGGAGATCAAAAGTAGGAAGAAGATGGTACAGGAGGTCTACGCCGAGAGTCTTGCTCATTTGGCCCTGCTAAGAGAAGTGGAACCGGTCCCCGAAGATGATCCTGCGGTACTTCGGGTGCGGCAGACCTTGATGTGCGGAAGGGATCAGAAACATGGTCCAGTCGTTATCTGGGGTCCTAAATGCTCTGGAAAATCCGGTATATTGGCCAGGATCTACCAGAGTGTTTCAGAGTGGTTCGGCGGTCCTACCTTGAGAGTGGTGAGACTCTGCACGTCTACACCGAGATCAGCTTACAGTCTCGAGCTCCTGAGGATCCTTTGCGAGCACATTGGATTCCTCTCGGGTAACAATGATGGTACCTTGCCTCGTGACGCATCCTTTGATCCACTTTATCTGAACAATTGGTTCAGTCAAATAATGCGTGGAATCGAGGAGAATCCCACAACTGAGCAACTGGTTGTCATGGTGGATGATCTTCACCGATTGCATCCTCTGGAATGCGATATTGTAGCTGCCCTTTCCTGGCTTCCATTGAATCTTCCACCAGGCATGCACTTCGTAGTCACCACTTCAGTCCCGCCGGAAGCTCTCAGACTGACGCCATTACAAAAGGAACGACTTAGGAGTAGCGAGATACTGATCGAACTTCCGGAAAGCAGAAGCAATATTCCAAACGTCGAAGGTGCCTTGGACAATCTTGAGAAACTTGTTGGCCCGAAAGCGGCCAACAGGGTCGGCTGCTTATTAGCCTGCACCGAATACGGACTCTCGGAAACCGAAATTCTCGAGCTAATAATGCCAACTGGTGGTGACGGACCGTTGCTGCTGAGCTCAGCTCAGTATAACTTCTCAACTTGGTGCCTGGTGAGGAGAACGCTGAGCCCTTGGCTGAAAGTTCGAGTTATGAGCGGCAGATTGATGTTCGGCTGGCGCTGGATCAGTGCGGATGCTGCGAGGAAGAGATACTTGAATACCCAAGATGCGTCTAGATCGAGTCACGCGGAAATAGCGAATATCTTCTTCTCCGAAGAGCGCGAGGAGAGCGAGGAAAAGTCTCCGGAAGATCCTGGCTCACCCCCTCCTAAGGAGACGCCTTTTCAGAGTGCGCCCCAATCTCAAGACATCACGTACACCCTCCGTCAGGTCGAGGAAGCCTGGCTTCATCTTCTACGAGCCGGCGACGTCGAGAGACTCAAGAGACTCGCTGTCTGCGCATTCGATTTCCTCCTCGCTGCTGTTCAGATGATATCCGTGAGCTACTTGCGATGCGTCCTGGAGCACGCCAGGAGGTATTTACTCGAGAGGGATTTGGAACTGGTGTATTATGCCGTGCGGAAGTCGAGCGACGTGCTGACGCGCGATCCGCTTCAATTGGGCGCTCAGTTGATTTGCTGGCTTAGACCAGTTGCCGAGGACGGTGGGGATTTGGTGAGAATACAAATCAATATTAATCAGACGTTTTTTCTTATATTTTCGAGAGCCTTCTTTAAAGATGAATTCGTTAACTGGATCGTATAGGTTAGCAGAATGGTAATGGCCGCCATGGCATGGTGCGATGGGTACACTGCTCCGTTACTTGTACCTTTGAACGGTTGGCTGCAGCCGCCCTTGCCGCTTCAGATTCGTGCCCTGGCTTGTCCACAGGGCGTGAGACTCGTCGAGGCTGCACCCTCCGGGCAACACGTCGTCGTGGTGCCTCCTCAGGGCGATGCACAACTATGGCACGTCATGTCGGGCCAGCTCGTTCACACGTTCAAAGGTGAGTGTCTTTTATCGATTTTCTTAATACCCAATAAATATCTAATGCGGCTAATGTATTTTCTTAACAGGACATTCCGGGCCAATATCCTGCGTTGCAGTTACCCAACAGTCTCAGTACCTTCTCACAGGGTCGGAGGACACTTCAATAATTGTCTGGGACATGAAGGAACTGACTTTGAAGCGTAGAATTTGCGAACACATCGCACCTATTTCGACACTAACACCGGCATTAAATAACTCGGTGATTGTCAGCGGTGGCGAAGACTCCAGGATCATTGCGACAAGTCTTCTCACCGGAGAAGTCCTGATGAAGGTGGATCATCACAGAGGCCCGGTAACGGCAGTGCGCGTGGATTCGGCGGGGGAAGTACTGGTCTCAGGATCATCCGACCGAACTGTCTGTCTTTGGTCCTTGGAGAGTTTCACTCTCTTGAATAGCATTCCTCTACCGTCGCCGGTGGCCATGTTGGATGTCTCGACCGATTCGGTCTTTCTTCTTGTCGCTTGCGAGGATCAAAAGCTCTACCTGCGATCCTTGGCTACGGGAACGGAAATCCATACGCTGCGAGGACATCAGGGACCTGTGAGGAGTATTTGCTTGGCCAAGGATTGCTGCAGAGCCATTGCTGGCGGTGTGGATGGCAGAGTCTCGGTATTCGACATGCATAGCGGCAGGCTCACTAGGACTTTGCCAGCCAATCCCTCAGCGGACGTGACTTCGGTAAAGGTTACGGAGAAGGATGACTTTTTGATCACCGCTGGGGGTGGTCGTGTAACTTATTGGAGTTTTCGTGGGGAGGAAGTACCCCCAAGGCCCTCGAAGCCGGGAGGGAAGCAGGAATCCCTTCAGCCTCATACAGCCCCTATCTCCTGCCTCGACGTCTCGAGGGATGGCGCCATGGCGGTTACAGGGGGCGTTGATTCCCTCGTTAATCTTTGGCAATTAAACACTCACGAACTCGTCTCTACCCTGGAGGGTCACATCGCGAGCGTAACTTGCGTCGCATTTTCTGCCTCCGGTCTATTCGCTGCGTCCGGATCCGAGGATAAGACAGTTCGCGTTTGGGGCCTGACGCTGGGTCTTGTGGTTGCCACCTTTCGCCATCAGACGCCCGTGACGGCGGTCACTGTCATGTTGGATGGCAGAAGGGTCGTTAGCTCCGACCGTGGTGGAGCCATCAGAGTGTGGGCCGCCGACAGTGGGACTTTGATTCAGTCGGTTTGCGGACCAGGTCGATGCTTCGCGGTGGCTTCCGATATGAGGTATACGCATCTCTTCGATCAATCGCTACTCAATAAGATAAATCACAACGAAACATCATTATAATTCGAATCTTTGTCTCGTTACAGATATACAGTCTGCGGATCTGGCGATAACCACGTACGGATAATAGGCCTGGGAGCTGGTCCGGAAGAAAAGCACCAGGTTTCACATTCCCAAGACATAACGTGCTTGGTAGTTACACCCGACTCGCAATCGCTAATCACCGGCTCGCGAGACATGAGTCTGAAAGTATGGCAATTGGCAGGCGGAAAGTTATCCCAAGTGCTGGTTGGTCACACGGACCACGTCACTTGCGTGGCTGTTGCAGTACTGGATAAATGCATTGTAGTTTCTGGTTCACGCGATGCCAACCTAATCGTATGGGATATTAATACCGGGGCGGATCTTCATACGCTCACTGGCCACCTAGGATACGTGACGTGCGTCAGGTTATCCGGCGACGGTACTTTGGCTATCTCTGGAAGCGAAGACAAAAGCCTGATAGTCTGGGATACTAAGAAGGGCACTGCTCTCAGCTCCATCATGCTTCACGTACCGGTACTCGGTGTCGAAATGTCCACGGACTGTTCAAGACTAGCGCTCCATTTACTTGAGCACAAATGTATGCCTATATTGTGTCTACATAACACACCGGCTCAGTACGTCAAGTTGCCAGCATACGTAGCGCCCAGAGATCTACGACCACCTGGACCCAATCGCCCAGCCAGACGATTGCTTAAGAAGGAAGTGTCCCTAGACACTTACACTTGGCAGCGTAAATACGGCCATCTTACTTCAGGTATTTAATCATATATTTCTATGAACTAACGATTCACCTTTCTCAATCTTTTTTAACTTTGAGAGGTATTTGACACAAGAGTGTTGTTTGACCTTGCTGCCAATCTAACATACGCAAACGCAATTATGGCTGGCTGTTCGCTGTAGTCTCTTTGGATGAATGACTTGTTTAGGAATTATGGTGGCGGCCGTAGAGGAACGATTAAAACGTCGATTCAGCGTGAGCGCTTCTATGGAGGAGATCAGCAAGGCAGGTTTGGCAGGATCTCAGCCGGGATTAGGCCCCGAACAGGCGGCCCTAGCCCAATCCCAACATTTCGATCAGCTGGAGGCTCTCTGGAACAAGCAATCACCTCCGCCGAGACCCAGAGGTCTTGGTCGAACTCTTTCTAAACAAAGTTCTCTTCAGGCAACCCGAATATCCGATTCCGATGAGGAAGGTAGGCGAGCCATGTCCTGCATCGCCTCCTAGATCCTTCAGTTATGTCAGCTACCTAATTTTCGACACAAAGAATCTCTTGATTACCTGCATTGCCCTTTTATTGGCTGCTGCATAGCACAGCACGGTAGATTTTTTTTTACTTTTAGAAAGTCCTCCTCATATTATTTTGTCAATATCGTATCCTTGAATGCAGTATCCATTGCGTACATACTTGGTGATCCGATCAACTTTTTTTCAATGCTATCTATTGCGTTACTTTAAAAGTGCCAGTTCTTCCACGTGACATTGCAGTACAGTTCCTTAGTTTTTCTATGAAGATAGTGTCACCTTTTTATTCACGTGTTATATCGTTCTCCATTCTCATTGGAATCTAGTTTTTTAGTTTTTCCAGTCGCACAGTAGAAACCACTCTGCATGCACAAACTTAAGTAAGTATAACTTGTGTTTTTATTATTTTGACATTTCTAACGATTAATTCTAACCGACTGACATTTCTAGAGAATGTAGTATTTGCTCAATTTGCATGCGCTTCCCAGTCTCAGTTAATGCGCTCTTCTGTTAATATCATTTGGAATATCGAATCGTCGTTTGGTTCATTTAAAGGAGTGATCTGTTCTAGATCTTCCAGGTTAATCGAAGTCATTGAAGATCCTTCGGTACTGCTAGAGCGCTTTTGCGTGGCATTGAAAACGATGAAGGAAGTGGTCGAGAACTCTCATCTAACGAAAAGATTCATCCTTCGACTGTAACCGATTCTAAAACTACAAAACTCCCATGTCATTACGTTCGGTGCAATAAATAAAATACAAATCTATCGCTATTGTCAACTCTGAATGATTTTCACTCCTGATTTTCTTTTTTGTATGATCAATTACGAATTACAAGGATGTTACAACATATGCACATTATTTATTCAGTTGGTCTAATCCATAATAAAATATTTACAATCCATCCACGATATTTTACAATGATAAAAAAGTTAAACGCTGTTCCAGCGTTGTAAATGTACACGTATAAAGTAAAAGCCTTATTTCTTAATTAGGTTTTGATAATAGTTCGCGAGAATCTGCCAGGCCTTAGGCGCCATGAAACCGTCTGGTGGACTTTCCCCGGATTTGGCCAATCCTGCGCAAAATAAAAAGAAGGTCAAAGTTAAAGCAATATCTGAGTAGTCATTCCTTATTCCTTGAAGGATACCAACCACGCATTCTTGTGCCGGATATGAAGTCAAAGTCTTGTTTACGTTCAGGTTCAAAGAAGGCCATCTTCTTGACTCTGGTATCGTAGGCCGCCACTCGAAATGGTATTATTTCAAGGGTCTGCAGTCCTGGCGCCATAGAGAGAACTCTAGCGCCGTGCGTAGCATCGTAGAGATTTCCATCGGGAGTCGCTGACTTATCAGGATGTGGCATTCCTGCAGGATCTCTGCCAACTATATAAAAGTTGGCACCAGCTGTCATTCGAGCTTTGGCATGCCACTGCACTTCGGTAGGACCCGCGTACATCATTGGGCTAGGGAATATGGCCAGGAGTGTGTCCTGATGAAGGACACCCTCTTCGAGAACAGCCTGATGTTGCTGTATCCTTACTGGTAGGGGAACATCATCATCCTTGGTCCAGCCACCGAGAGGATGAAGCAGAAGAATCGGTTTTTTGAAATTACGTTCTTCCAGCAGACGCCTCCTTGTATCCTGAAGATATAAATAATATTTCTTTAGAAACTCTCTATTTACCCGCTTAACATTGATATACCTGCATAAGAAGAGCGTGGCCATTGTGAATAGGATTTCTCAATTGGAAAGCAAAAACTGCATCCGCGCCCATTTCGCGACATTTTTGCCTTATCTCGTTCGGAGTCAATCTATATTGATCCAGACCATCGTTCCAGCGTATTCTCTCCAGGACTTCCAGTTCACCGCCAACCAGCCAGTCACCAGACTCGTGGATCATCTTAACGTAAGGATGACCCGGATTGTTGGTTCCGAATTGCCTGGAGCAACGCTCTTCCTTTCGATGAAAGTAGAATTCTGGATTACGCAGTATGGCAAGATTCCTGCCCTGGTATTTCAGCGACAGTGCCGATACACCGTCCAATCTTTCCTTGTCAGCAGTGCACACAGCAAGAACAATCGGAATGCTCTGATTGATTTCCTTTCCTTTTTCCACTAGAGAATTGAAATGCTGAGCCTGTCAAGAGCAGCAGGATATTATCCTGAATGGTTCGACTTCCGTTTTTTATATTCTCATTTAATACTCCGTCCAATCTTACCTGAAGATACTGATCCTCTCTCATGAATCCTTTCAGAGGAGCTGCCCAGCCTTCGGCCAGGACTTGAAGCCACTGAACGTCAACCTCATTGATCTCCACAGCCTGGAGGGACTCCGCCTCGGCCCTGGCACCGGTCGCTCGTTCCTCCGTCACGAAAAGTTCCCTAACTGGTTCCCCAGGCATGGGCAAACTTGGAATGATCCCGTGCTTCTCCAGGAACTCGATGACCATCGCCGTCGACTGGTCCACGCTGCAATTCTCAGTAGTGACTATCAGATCCGGATGCGCTGGCCTCTCGTAGCTCTGATCGATCCCAGTGAATCCTTTAATCGTACCCTGTCTGGCCTTCTTATAAAGTCCTTTAACGTCACGGGCCTCGCAAACGTTCAAGGGCGTGTCCACGAAGATCTCGAAGAAGGGAAGTGCCGCCTCCTTGTGAATTCGCTTTGCCATTTGTCTGTCTTCCTCGAAAGGTGACACAAAGCTGCACAGAGTGATGACTCCACTGTCGGCGAACAATTTAGCGACCTCAGCGACCCTGCGTATATTCTCCTCGCGATCCTCCTTGCTGAATCCCAAATTGCGATTCAGTCCTGTTCTGACGTTATCCCCGTCCAGGCCGTAGGCTGGAATTCCATGAGCTACCAAGAAAGCTTCTACTTCGAATGCGATTGATGTTTTTCCCGCTCCTGAAAGTCCCGTCAGCCACACGGTGCATCCTCGGAAACCCCTCACGGCCCCAATGGCCTGTCCCCTCTTCGCCCTGGAGACGTGGTGGGCCTGGGCCAAGACATTGGTCGCAACCTACAGGGATGTAGTAAAAGGAAAGACTCATAACTAACCATTAGGTCGTATCCCAAGGCGGTTGTTAGGTAGAGTCTAAATTCAGGAAAAGCTACAAATTTTAGTTGGGTACTCGTTTCACTTGGATACTCGTAAAAATCAAGTCGCTCAAGTGTTTAAACTCTTGTAGGGTTTGTAATAGTCGCTAAAGCATGCAAAGTTATCGATTTGTTTACCCCAGTCCTGTGTTTCGATAATGCAGGCCTTTTGACTCTCATCACTGTCACGTGTAATTTGAAATTAGGTTCGATTCCACTAGTCACACTTTTGACATATCGTATTGCGAGCACTGATTCTTTTATTAGCTTAGTTATTAGGTGTGATATCCCATGTTAATGATAATATCCCGTGTTATTTAATTTCGATAAAATTTAATCGGATAATAAGGTGAGAGCATCAGCCTTGACAGTGATCTTAAACGTTCCATACTTAATAAATTGTCACTGCTCCAAATACTATCGCGAAATTGATTGGTAAAATTATCTTCGGGTAAACCAAGAATCATATTAAATTAAATTTATTATTGTTATTCCGACGCGACAGTGGAATCATGGAAGAATTGAAAAGTGAACCGTTTGCGGCAAATTGTCACTGAAAACTGGTCTCCGGACGAAATGGCTACGGGAACGCCGGAGAAAGTGAAATGAAAGCTGCTTTCGTTGAATTGTTAGCAACCATCCGGACTAGTCTCTGTGGTAATCAAGGCTTTATAGTTTTGTGAATGTGACGATAATAATGCTCTGCCTCAAGAATTTTGTGATATGCTCGAAAATTTATTACAAGAGATTTTATATTTTTTCTTGATACTTTACATTGCCGTCTGTTCTCCAGCAATATGTGGATACTGTATCTCTGAACCTGTGTTCTAATAGCAATAGGGAAATATTGGAGTTTACGTGTTTCGTCATTAACGTATCGACACTACAGTCTTGGATACGACTCAGTTACCAGGTCATTAAACCGCGAGTAACGTGCAGTAGACTGGAAATTCTATATGGCCTGAAAAGATAATGTTCAAATAACAAGTTCAATTATTTTCAGTGTTTTTTAAAAATATCTATAGATTACATTGCGTCATAGATTCCCGTAATTTGATTATATGCGATCTAAAGTGTATAAATAATACATGGAGAGAAATTTGAAGCTAAAGATTAATTGACACATGTGTGCAATGTTCAACAGTTGTCAGTAAGGCATTTAATGGCACTAGAGATATCTTTGAGATGTATTAAAAACAGTTTTTCAATTTTTTAAAATCGATAGTAAGTTCACGAGTTCAACGCGAAAGATGGGGCATATTTGTATGTCCAAGGACAAGATAGTCGATCAAAGACAAAGCAGCTGCCCCAATTACGCGAAAAAGGTTATATTCTCAATTTGTTCCTGATCTTCAAGAATTGTCCCACACAAACGGTTTCCACGATTTAACCGATGGCCCAATCAACCGGAACCTGCTACATTAGTTTTTTCCTGACGCAATTCGTACACCCATCCATAGCGCGTGAGTTTCGAATAAATTAATAAAAATTTTGAGCAAAAAAGTTTGACGCGTGGCTTAGAGTGATTCTCATAGAAAATCAATATTGCTTCATCACCTTCCGCCGACTCACTTTATACGTCTCGCCGTTGGGGCTCAACTGTCTACGTATCATCGTGCGTTTCTCGACTTTCGCGTCTCTTGAAACTTCCGTCTCTTCGCCCTCCTTGCGCCTCCTGAATGCAGGACGTTCGCCGTTGACGACGTTGAGGACTTTGACCACGTTGACGACGTTTTGCCAATTTCCTGGGACTTCTGGCAAATTAAACGGGTCCTGCCCAGGGTGTCACTAAAGGATCGGTCCAACTGTCGCCCTCGACGAATTCTCCCTCAATATATCTCGAGGCATCATGGGGTGACCCCACCACTTCGTGAACGGGACACCGCTTCACGACGGCCACGACGGCCACGACGGCCATCACGATCTTTTTTCTAAGGCGACCCTGGACGCACGTTCGACATGAAAAACAGAAGGAAAAAGATCCCAAGGTTCCTGATATCGCGAAAGGTGTTTAGTATTATATTTCCTCTAAAATTCTGCTCCTGGTGCGTATGTTCTGTGTATTACTTTAAAAGACACTCTTATCTTCCTTTCAGATTCAGCTCCAAGCGATTGCAGGAGCCGGTGGACCTGGATATCCGGTTACTTCTGCAGGACCCAGAAAATGCAGAACCTCGAGAGCGCGAACCTCGACCTCTCGTCCCGGAAGTACCTTGCCTCGGGAACTCACTTCCGCTCGATAATTTTCCTAGGCTGATTCACAGGTAATCCCCTTCTATTCTTAATATTCTTCGAATTACTTATTATTACTTAGCTTGACTCTCCGATCTCATTCTGATTTTCCAAAGGCAACTACTGGCACACTTCTTAGCTATTCTGAAATTTTGAAAGTATTAAAAAAATATCAGTGCCCGGAATGATAACAAGTAATTAAGAGATTTCGTGGAAGAAGGCGCTACCGAGCATTGACAATGGTCTTTATCAGCGACAATTACTTTGGCTCTTTAAACTTGGAATAACAAATTATCCTTTTATCACTTTTGTTTCGCTCGCATTGCCAATTCTTTTACCATAGTATACTAGTGTTTACAGGTTTGTAACTTTTTTATTGTTATTACGCGGATTTCAATAATCTGCAAAAAAAACGCTACCTGTATTTCGTAATCGTGAGTCATTTTTGATTGTGCTTCTTATTATGGTTGGACTAGCACTCTCAATATTAGATACCTTACTGCCGTTGCTGGCGTCAGATTTCCTGTCCAACTATTTAAAATCCTAGCAATTGTAGCATGACTGTGAAATTCTTATTATTTCGTGCATTTCTGACAAAAACGGAAACCTTCGTATCTCGAATCCTTGGCCAAACGCGATTTCGTATCTGTCCGTTTAACGCTCCGTACCATATGGTAAGCTTGTATTACTACTTGCCCTTTTATCCATCCAGCAGACTGTTTCTTTAGTTTCTAATTGAACAGATACGCTGCATACCGAGGTATTTAATGTTTTACTTGTTAACCAGCGGCTGCTCGGTCGTTTCGTTTGCTCAACTCGCCAGACATTCAATTTTAACAAGTAAGTGCACTTTTCACAAATTATTATCTTGATTGCACCCCAGCAAACACATAGTCATGTTTACACGTCGACAATGGTAAAATGTCTTACTCGCAGATATAACAATTACGTATATCAAGTGTTTTATAACTATTGCATAATTGAGTAGTTCATTTTACCATTATTAAAATGTAATTGGCACTTTGTGTTCACTGGACGTTTTGCGTGCTCATCCTGCTCATAAGCAATATGTGCGCCTTAACAATGTTTTTACATAATAACAGATCATTATAACCGACGGTGATTAGTAATCACTATGATCAATTTATATTTCTTCCAAGTTGATAAAAATTATATAACAAGACCTTTTAATCGATATGGTCAAGGCGAACATTTTGGGAATATCTCAAAGAGACTGCATATGAATGATGTCTCACGATACGTATCGTTTTATTTAATAATTGTACACGATGAACTTTCAATAAAGATGAAAAATACATTAAAGACTATTATGTTACAAGAAATGAGTACGGAGCTACACAACGCTACGGTTTTAGGCGATATCAAAATCATGACGCTAAATCGTAGCGGCGACTCTGGAAGTAGGACTCTGTGATCGTCGCCTCCGTCGACAATGAGAATACCGTCGTGGCCGAGATAAACGTGAACACGAACGCGTGGCTTGGAGGACAGAGGTTTTTCCCTATTCAACGCTACTTCCCAAAACAATCTTTAGAAAGAGACGGTAACTATAGAACTCAAGAACTATTGAAAAAGCCTATTGTTGAAACATTTTTAAACCATTTCTAAGAAAGTGCAGTGCCAAATTGACACCCGTGTAGTATCTCAATTTTTATGAAATATTATTGGATCTTGATTTACTTTTAAAATTTATTCAAAATATAAAATTGAGGCTGAATAAAAATCTGGCAGAATATACGGAGTAGATAAAACTTGAATTGAAGTTGTAGAATATCGAAAGTAAATGACGTTCAAATTGAAATATTAATAAAT